AAAAAAAAAAAAAAATCACATTTACTCAATCACTGAGTACTCTCTCCATTCCTCTCTTTCCTCAGAATTACCATTAAGTACAGAGGGAAGCGAGTTTATTCCCCAGGTTGGAACTTCATTAACCGTAACTATTCAGGATTATTAGTAAGAGCCAAATTAATGCTTTAGATAAGCTAATATAAAAAGAGCATTCTTGGCTCTATCTTAGTTTAGACTTGAATTTTAAGTCTGCTGGAATACAAGACAATAATGTAAATTCAGTGCTATGAGCTAGGTTTAATTTTTATAACATTAAGTTTTATGCTCTTTTCTAAGCAGTTACATCATGAAAAAAATACAAAGTTTTACTGAAAATCCTTCAATTTCTATTTGCCTTGCTTCATGATATGGCCATCTCAAAGTTAATACATACGATACTTCTGAAGCACATGTAAACTTCAGTTTCAGACTAAAGCCAATTAAAGAAAAAAGATAATACAGTGCGGGGAAAGAAAGTCACATTAATTTCATTTTAGGAAACTCAGAATAAGTTTGCTTTCCACTGTTCCACAATCCAACACAAACACTGTACAGTGTTTCTCAAACTTTACATATGAATCAACCAAGAATCTGGTTAAAATGCTGGGTGTAGGAGTAGAACCTGATAGTAAATATTTGTAAATTAAGTTCTCAGGTCAGAGCAATGTTGTCTAGTCTGAAGACAACACTCTGAATTTTAAAAAGGTTAAATATAAGTAGCTGTTTTAGCATCCTAATTTGGGGGGAAGGGTCACTAACTTTGATAGTTACCTAACAAGCACCTCTTATCTTAAAAATCAAAGTAAAGAATGAGGTGGTGAGACTGAAAGATTTACCTTCATAGTTTACTTGACCATCACCATCAATATCTGCTTCCCTGATCATTTCATCAACTTCTTCATCTGTTAACTTCTCTCCAAGGTTTGTCATCACATGGCGAAGTTCTGCAGCACTAATATAGCCATTGCCATCCTAGCAAAAAATTTAGTATAGTTTCTGAGTAAAATTACAGACTTGAGAGTTGGAATGGAAATTTATTGTTTACTACTAAATTTTGCATTGGGGGAAAAACATACTTTAGAAATGCATACAAATCTACACACATAGTTGACCTACAAATGTCATTAAGAACCAAGCAAAATGTCCTATATTGAAATCACTATTTCCTAAGTCCCAAAGTCAAGTGACACCTCCTTTGACAAGATTAATGCAATACATATATTAGAAAATCTATAGAGAATCCTTAAAAAGCTTTTGCTTGATAATTAAAATATATTGGTAAATCATCAAAACAAACAAACAAAAAAAAGTCTTCATAATGAGTCCTGGTATCTTCATTTCATCCTCAAAATTTAACGTATCCAGTCCTTGACCTACCTTATCAAACACACGGAATGCTTCTCTAATTTCTTCTTCACTGTCTGTGTCTTTCATTTTTCTTGCCATCATTGTCAGAAATTCAGGGAAGTCA